AACATTATAATTATAATATTTTTTTTAAATTATGAATATTCTTCCCTTTCCTTAATGAAAGTATTAATAAAATTTTTTTTTTTCTTTGAATTAGAAGTCTATCCATTTTCACCAGAGAGTCTACACCGCGCTGACTGTTTCTGCGATCGCTGCTTCGCCGGTTTTCTCTTCTTCCATGGTCCTCCTTGTGATTTGAGCCATTTTTTGCTTTTCAGTGTCTCAGTTAGGTGTCTGTTTTTATGAAGCTTGTTTAGGGTTTTCTGTTAGACGATTAGTTAACGTTTTGTTTTTTTTTTTGGATTGTTCGTGTGTTTGGACCATGCTAATTTGATCTGTGTCCTTAATTATGTAAATGCCGATTGATGTAAAAGGTTTCAAGCGGACTTTGGGGGAAATTTTGCATTTCAGAGGGTTAATTTGGGTTGTTGTAGTTCCTAGAAACGGTAGTCATTTGAGGTTCTGGGTCTGGTGAGTTGAGTAGCTGGACGTGGAAAGCTCAGCAATAGTTGTGAAATATGTTGAACGAAGTCGTGAAAGTAATTTGGGAGGGGTTATTAAGGGTTGGGACTTGGTTGATTTTGGCAGAGGGAAAATAGTACCATAAGAAGTCCTGGTTTATAAGTTTGAACCACTGTCCATGATCCATGAATTCAAGTGGGAATGTTATAAAATAGTGCTTAGTAAGAAAAATCTACAAGAAACTGATGCATGTTCCTTTGTTGAAGTTAAACCTCTGTCCTTTTTTTGTTGGGTATTTTATGATGCTGTCTAATCTATTTTAAGCATGCAATCAATGGTATAAATCTTGTTGGTTTGAATTTTAATTTTGCACTGAGTTTGTTTCATTGCACTAATCTGGTTGTCCAAGTTTCATTTCTGTCAATGAGGATATGGACAAATTGTACTTGAGCACAACATGTTATGATTTTTCTTTTTGCCTTTTTGTGTTTCAGAGCTAGTCCTAAGTTCCTAACAGTGATGTCGATCAATGCTCTTAAAGATCTCAATAGCCTACCTGCATCTGAAAGCAAGAATGATGACTCTGGTAGAGGGTGTTGTACAAAACCTTGCAATGGGAACATGAATGAAAATGTTGACGAGAAGCAGAGGAAGAAGTCTTCTCCCATTCATGTTAATGGAGGTGAAACTGTAAATTCTGGAGTAGAGGTAGCAAATTCAGAAGTAGAATACTTTGAATCTGAGAACTTGAGTGATCTTGAAGACATTGATACAAGTCTCAAGGTATAACTCCTTGCTTTTCCTTTTTCCTTTTCACTAATATTTGGAAGTAAACTGTATCCTAATATGCTTAAATTCCTTTTCACTAATTTTGAGTTATGACATCTGCAGACATTTTCACCGCATTTAATGACCATCTAGTTGATTTGTTGGATCCACTGGTACTTCATACTCTCTAGTCACTGCTCCCTTTATTTTTGTTGAATGATTATCTCCTCACTAGTGAATAATGAGTGAACTAATATTGTGAATGTACGCCCAAATATCGTCAAATGCAACTTGTACAGCTTTTATTTAAATCTTCACAATACAAAAAGTTCGTTTGTGAGGCAGCTGACAGAGCTTTAGAGGCAATGACCACTTGGGTTTCCCCTATTGTTTTGTTGCCACAGTTGCAAACTTATCTCAAAAACGGAAATCCACAAATTCGAGCCAAGGCATCAATGTGCTTTTCTTGAAGTGTTCCACAACGGTAAGAAAAGCATGCTTGATTTTCTCACTGCTACTTCATTTGTTTACTAATCATATGGGGCACTGAAAGAGTTTCATTGGTCAATGTCTATAACAACATTACTGTCTTTGTTTCTTTTCCACATTAGACATTCCTGTTGGATGGTCCATTTCCTGATTGTTGCAGATGCAGATCAGATCATAATCTTGTTTCTTGGAGTTTCAAGAAGAATATTAATGTTGCTTATTCAACTAATAATTGAATTGTACGAAGAAGTAACTACAACTGGAACATGGATTTTTGTTTATGGCTTGAGCAATATACTATTTTTAGATGTAATCACGTTGGGTTTTTCCTGGCATTATTGGTTTGTAAGCCATAACTTCCTACCGTAGCTGAATTCATGTTAATTTCATTTTTACAGGGTGTTGAGGGAATTAAAACATATGGAATTGGCAGATTGATACAAGTAGCTGCATCCCAGCTCAGTGATTAGCTTCCTGAGTCCAGGGAGGGTGCCCAAACCCTTCTTCTGGAGTTGCAAACTGTATACAAGAAATCCTATTGTCTCTTGTCAGCAACAGTACACCAGCATCCAGAGTTGGACACTTGGGATCACTTTTGTCAATCAAAACTCTCTCCTTTAAGCGCACAGGGTGTGCTTCGTGTCACCAACACCAATGTTGCTCGGGAGGGTCGTGTTGTTAGTTCATGACACGAGTTACATAGTCCATACATGAGCTTTTTGAAATCAGAGTCTTTATTTACCTACACATATGAGCCTTAGCTAGCAGAATCTATAATTACCTTTTATTGGGTTGGTTTCATTTCATCTTGTTCTTTTTCTATAAATGCTCTTGAATGATTGAGATCTCTGCCATTATGATTAAGAAAATAGTTGGGTTTGGAATGATATGGTATGTCTTTATGAGTATCTTCCTTTTGCATAATTTTGCCGCACTGTAAGTAGAATCGAGAGGATAAGTACTTTGTGTAGAGAACTGGAAATGGAGTTTATCACAAGGTACAGCTCATCTGCTTAAAATAGTTTGGAAAAAAAATATATAAATAAAGATACGAATTTTATTATTTTCTTATTTAAAAACATAAATTTTATTGGTTTTTGAATAAAGTGGTAAATTTTGAACTTTTTAATTTAATGATATTAATTTTATATTTTTATTTAAATATTAATTAAATAATTAAAAAATTATTTATTGTATCAATTTTATTATTTAATTAATCATAAAATAAAAAAATTAATAACTTTAAAAACCAAATTCAAAATGTACGGACTCATTTAAAAACTAATAAAATTTACATTTTTAAATTAAAAAATAACAAAATTTATATTCATATA